TGCAAATGTTTCGCTCCAGCTGGTAATCCTAAGACGCAAAGATATTCGGCTGAACACCAGAACGATAATCTTTTGCGTGCACCGCTACACTCCCGTCTTAGAAACAGCCAGCCTCACCTAGGTCCAAACTCTTCATGCGGGGGATGGCTTACATCTGCGTTACCTGCGCCTCTGACGCTTTGTTTCAAGCCCATATGCTTATTTTGCGAGCTAGACTCTCCCACTCAGTTTGCGAGTGTTATTTGTGATTTTGTAATTTGGAAAAAGAAGCCGGAAATGATTGATCCGGCCACCACTGTTGCTCAGCCCCTCATCTGGATTTAGTTTGCGAAGCCCCACCCATGATCAACAAAGAAAAACAGAGGTGAGAAAGACTCTTCAGACCCACGTTTTTGCTGATGGTATACCAACTGGAGTGACTACAAAATACGCTTTGGGTATGTCTGAGGCTAATTCCAGCAACAACAACAGCGACTTGTTCTGTTAAAAGAAATAAATTTGAGTGAAATAACTGCAAGTGCAAAATTTACCAGTGGGAAGTGAAAATTAACGCGATTATCGCCAGGTAAACGCGCACCGAAGCCATAGGCATAGAACAGCTGACTGTTATTATAGTACTGACAAATTTCGGCAATAGCCTGGATTGCAATTTCATACTGACTGGTATTTTCACCAGCAACGTGATGTAGGGAAGCGGCATTTTCAAATGGTAAGTTTGATTTTGTAAAATCGATTGCAACTGTGAATTCCAATTCTGTTCTGAAATTACCGGACTATCTGACTTTTGATAAGCAGTCTGGGGATGTAGATTAACTTTTATGATGAACAACTGACCGCTCCGAGGTAAGTTTAGCCGGATTCGATGGCACTTATAAATTGTAACTTTGTTCAGACATTTTTTAAAACTGATTGATTCACAGTTGGCCTGCTAGGCTTTAAAAGTAAACTGACATCCAGAATACCCAGTTATTTTGCTCAGATGGATTCAGGCTACAAAGCTAGCTTGCTACATTGCTAGAAAATTCAAAAAATTTAAGTACCCGCCAGTGATGAAATCCAGAAATGTATAGTCCATCCAGCAATACACTTTGTGAAAGTGAAGTTGTCCAGAATCTATATACTTTTTGTTCTTCTTCGCTTTTTTTTCATGTACTAGCTGCAAATAAGTGTTATTTGTTTGGCAGTTTATTGATGTAACAAATTTTGTTTTTTTTCTTTGCTTTTTATTATCTCCAGTGGGAGTGAAATTAAAATAAAACCAACAGATTTATCAAAAATTGATTATATCAAAGTCAGTTCTCCAGCTTCATTGAAAACTATTTACTCCAAAGAAGAATTTACAGCAAAATCCTTAGTTGTATTAATAAGTAGTAACAACGCCTTCAGTTTCGTTGAAAGTTGGACAAGTCAAAATAGAGGCGGCACCTGGCCGAGAAATTCACTGGCAAATTTCAATGTCGAAACTTGCTTGATTGCCGAGTTGAAATATCCGCAGGGACGCATGCACATATAATACATACACAAGCACGCACACCACGGGTCGTTCCAATATGCGTTTTTGCATTTGCATACATGCGAAACGCATAAAAACTAAAGTTACTAGCTCATTTTATCATGAACTTCTAAAAGTAGAATGAGTTCAGGCTTCCTAGTCCAAAGTGAAGTCACAAAATATAAGGCTGGTTTCATGATGCAAAACACAAGTTGCATGATCAGCAACAATCTTAAAGTTTTAAACTGAGTTCCAGCTCAGTTCAGGATTATTTTACATAATCTGGTAGTATGTATGGCTGAGATGCAGACACTCAAGGATGCACCTGTCAAAGCAATCTTATTAGTGCAGTAAAAGTCCTATTCAAATAGTATGTCCTAACCGGTAAGGTGACGTCTTGCTTGCTGAGTAACCTGTTTACGGTTGTACGACAGCTACCAACCAAATCGTGGCTGAAACCAATTATTAAACAGTGGCATGTCAGAAGAAAGCTGGGGCTATAATTCTTTATCGAACACATAGAAAAAACAGGAAATTTTTGCAATAAATTACATATCATTCATAACCGAGTCTCAAAACTTACTTGCCATCTTTGTCCCAGTCGTAGCATTCGACGAGGAATTCCCTAAAAAAAGGAATTTTAACCTTCAAGGAACAATCAAAAAAAATTTCATTGAGGAGCTCCACTTTTGGTGCTTCCTAGTAAGAAAGAGTCGGAAAATTTTTCTCAACCAGCCAAAATATAGTAAGGATGCATGTCTGCGATAACCTATTGTATTCTGTCATCAATGCTTGTGCGCCTTGCAACATGCACATGGTAAATTTTTAGTCGTTCCAGGACTGGAGCACGAAAGTTAACAAAATTATCGGCCCTATGCATATTTCGCTAAAATTATAGTACGTCCCTGATTTGAATGTGCAGTTATAGGCCAGAAAACTTGCTAACGATTTTGTTACATATATATATATATATATATTTACAT